GCGTGCTGAATGCTAACAGAGAGATCCTTGATAAAGCAGACAGGCAGTTCTCCCACAGATTATTGAACAAAAAGACTCCTATCTGTGAGACTTGAGGGAGCAGATGGGGTTGTAAGTAAAGCACAAACACCAGCATCAACAGCTGAGAATCAAATGAACAATAAAGCAAGCTGCATGACACATCTTTGAAAATATAAATAAGAGCATTTGTAAACTTGTATTACTGCCTCTTGTGTTCTGTTGTTTAAGCATTTGTGTTTGCTGATCGCCAAACATTATTATCTTGTTTTCTTTTACATACTGGCGAGGGCAAAGAGTGGCAAAAAGGAGGACACATGTCTGAAAGACACAGAGATATGACAAGTAGAACCTGATTCACATGAATGCTCCTTACCCTCGCTTCCCATGGAGGCCTTTTTCAAAGTGCTATATGTAATACCCATAGAGAGTACTCAATTCTGATTGGCAGGGTGTGCCTCATTTTCAGACAACTGCACAGCCTCTTATTCTGCATCATCCTTCTAAACCAATGCTTATAGGTGATACAAGGTACTTATTTCAACTTCTACTACATTTACTTGGCTGGATTACCAATTGAGCATAGAGAGCAACTGCACTTGGGCCCTGAGATCCTCAGGCTCCAAGCTCATTGTGTGATTTCATTGTAATTTAGTTTAGCAATACTGCATGCACCAGTAAAAATTGAATAACTGTCTTATTCCGTGGTCCTACAGGGGACCCTAAAATCTTGCCATAAAATCTAGTTTTAAGGCATTTTTGTCCTTGGGCACCCATAATGCATTAATTTGGCCCTGCTAAAGACAATACCCATTTTATTTAAAAAGCATATTGCTCCAAAATATGAAGCAAAATACTGTATACTGATATTTAGTCAGTGGCCATGGTGCTTTGTAAATGAGATAATCCATTTAGATCCTTGTATTTAAGAAAAATAATGCACTCTGCATGGTGTGTTATTTTCAGGTGACTTCAGGCTTTGCCATGGATTACCTCTTAATAAATCAAGGCCACATTAATCATGAAACAACAGATCATAAATGTGAACAAATGAGGACATTACCAACAGGCTCAGGCTTTACAGCAATTTACATAATGTGTAATTTTGTTAGATTTGACAGGAAATCTGTCGGATTTTTATTTGATACAAAGGGAGCTTGCTTTATGACAGAAAACTGAAACTGAATTTTTCCTTTGCAACACATCTGCATCCCATATCTCCTGCTCAGGCTGCGTAATTCCAATTTCCCATTTATCTCATCTGAATGTATTGGGTTATCAAGGACTACTATAAGATCGTATCATTTCTCCAATAAATGCACATAGAACAGATGTGAGCAAGGTATTTAATAACACACGCACTGCCACGCGTAGCAACTTTTAATATTCTAAAATGAAAGATCATGAAACACAGCAGGTACAGGACTAATGTTAAAATTTTAAAGGCCCATATTTCATACCATCCTCATTCACACTACTGTAAGCTAACTGAGTGACACTGCTGATGTGCACCACTGGTCTCCATTTTGTGTTTAATTGTACTGTCTATGTCTGAGTGTGAACCACTGATGCATCACTGTGGGATCCCGCTGTGGCTTATTACTGCCAGGCCCTGCTCTCTGCTGGTCTCAACCTGCTGGGTCATCTCCAGCTGCTGTAATCTAACATTAGCCTCTGCTTTCACTAGGTCCCAACCATTTACCCCATCATGTATTATAGACGACCCTCTGGAAATGGAGGAATCCCAGTAGACATAGAATTAATTTACAGGGGAATTGAATCAAAGTCAGTGGCACAGGGAGTGAGGGGGGGGGGGGTTATATTGCTATATAACACTGTCACAGTCTATAAAATTGTAATGAAAATTCATTTGAAGATTAAGTGTTTTTTTGCGATTCATTGGTATCTCCTGCCTCAACTAATAATCATTTCACTCCAAAGCTGAATGGATTCAGTAATTGATGCTTACAAACGACCAGGCTCCTTTCAACCAAACTTAATCCTCCTTTTCTCTTTCTTTGAATAACTCTGATTCTCAAGCTCACAGACACAGGATGAGTCTTTAGAAAGCAAGTTAACGGAGCAGTGTGCAAGTCTTATGTACTACCCTGGTGACTGTGGAATACACATGAAAACAGTGACATTGAGTCAGACACTGTAGATTTGGTACTGTCTGCGCTCGTCAGGTTTAGCAATATGATTTGAAATGAATGTGACATCTTACTCAACAGGCATCACTCCAGGCTTAGATTTCTTCTCTGTTAAAAGAAACAAATAACAGTTGCTACCTCAATAGAATAGCACAGAAATGTCTTTAGTGCTGGCTTCAATACAGAGTGAAAAAAAATTGCGTGGCCTGGGGTTCCAGCCCATTGAAATTAAGGAAATCAATGCTTTTGTGTGAGACCATCCCAAGAGCAGAATGAAAACAGCTTAGAATGAGAGACTTTTGCCATGCAGTACAATTGTCTAAAGTCATTTCAGTTCCCCAATAACAAGGAGGCCCTGTTTGTCATACAGTAGAGGTATTGAGAGGTATACTTTGACCTCAATGGCAGCTACTTACTGGGGCGCCCGGGGTTCCTTTGCAATCTGTGTAATTGACGCACAGTTTCTTTGAGCTGAATAGACAGAAGAGACAGTGCATGGGTGACTAGAGAGAAAAAGTTACTTCAAACTTATTTTAACTGGCCCCATTTATCTTCTGATGATAATAGCGGTGTATGTGCATGTGTGTGAGTATGTGTAATTAAAGGTTAAGATTTCTGTTCAGCGTAATGAAGTTCCTCCATTGAATTCAAAGAACCAGGGCTATCTAGGCTGCTGAGGTTAGTCACTAAGAGTATCTCTTCTACAGTCCAGAGGCAAATTACAGCAATGGTGCTTTTTACATTGAGGCTAGTTAAAAGTATTCAGGCACTCAGTCTAATCTACAAAACATAGACTTGACTGAGTCCCAGCAGGTTAAGTTTCACCATTCATTTCATGAAAAACATTGAATATATTATTCGCTTGTTAATACCCAACTTCCTGGTGTGTGTTTTGTCATATAATAATGATAATGCCATATCATTTCAGTGAAAAAAAGCACATTAAGTTTACAGTGACTATAAAACAGAGCTAACAGCCAAGCCAAACAGCAGTAACTGCACTCTGTCACAGAGAAACAAACAACTAACTACACAACTAAAGCAAGATAATAGCAAGTGAATGCTAGCAAGTGAGATAGCCACATTTATATATTTATGTATTTATTTATTTGCCCAGCTGTTATCTGTAATTGAAAAATATCCAATTTACATCTTGGTAGTTTGTTTATTCCACTTAACTAAATGATATAAATCCAGTCATGATGGAGAGAATCACTGAAGCTACCACTAAACTCACTGAAGCTGCCACTAAAATTAGTGCAGTTTGGTGTGGCTAAGCTAACTTTGAATCATATATTTAGATGTAATACATTGTATGTAATTTTAAAGTATTGATTTTGACAAAAATATCAATAGCAGAAAGACACCTACCAAAACAGAGACACTTACAGTTAAACCCTATTAACCATGGAGCGTAAATTATTAAAATAAGGGTATTTTATGGACAGTTTGTTATTGGACACCACATTTTATCCCATATCCCGATGGAAACTAGTATTATAAATACTAGTACTAGTAGTATTTTTTAGTTATAGGTTCTGTTCTGTGGCAATGCTTTTTTTCTGTAAAATAGAGGCATTTTAATTATTCCATCCGTAACACGACGTTTTTCTTTTCCCCATTCACTTTGGATGGCAGTATTTATCTTGGCTTCTTTTTAATTCAATCGTTGTTTTTTTATTGCTTCTTATTTTATTCCCATATTTTCCTTCCACTTGTGTTTTTTTCTCTTATCATACATCATGACCCTGAATCTATAATATCCTCTTCAGCCCATCCAACCTCCTGCTGTGGCCTGACAGAAGAGTATAAGCATAAGGGTTGAGGAAGCCAATGAGAAAAGAGGCCAAGCATATGACTCAAGGTAGAAATGGCATTCACTATGTATTCCAAATAAGGCAGTGTTTGAGACATCTCCTGGCAGTAATCTTACCAGGCAATTACATGTGCACAGTAATCACAACCACTACAGAGGCTGCAAAGAGGGCTTTCAATTTGCTGTGGATGCACGGCAACATGAATAAAAGCTGGAACAAACCTGGCAAGAGATACTCAGTGACTTCATGTTATATTACTGATAGTGTGTCTGACAAGTGGAGGGAATGATTCGAAGAAAAATACTCATGTGATAGAGCATGAATACTTTTCCCACATAAAATTTAATTATTTCAGCATTTGATTGGTTTCCTGTCATTTATCAAGTCAAATCTAATTTTTTTCTGTCATTTCAGGGACGAGTGAAGCACAATGTTGTGCTAATTGCTTTCATCAGTTAGATGGCTTGACAGTGTGGGGGATGTTGTGTATTCAACCTAATATTTACATTCACAATAATTACAATAATCCCCAGATAATTATGGTAAATTTCATATTTAGCATCTTAGCAACTCAGCAACAAACTCAACTGGAGCTTCTTAAAAATCAATGAAAACAAAATGCTGGATGTTGAAAAACTGAAGAATTTTCTTTTTTTTGGAGACCAAATACCCAAAGGGAAGTTCCAACTAGATTCTAGTTGTACAGTGGACCTGGTACAATAGATTGTAAATGACAAAAACATGGATTTTTAGCTGCTGGAACAATGTCCTGGACAATGAGCTCACCAGCTGCCATCAGTCATTAGCCATCTACTCAGCAGTGGTTCTGATTTCACAGTGGTTTACCATATAATCACTAATCGAGCAGTGATTGCGGAAAGCAATTTTCAATACCACTTGTTACTTGCACTTTTTCTATTCTTTCTGAGCTGGTACTGATTGTTTTATTGGGTGGATTAGAGACCTGCCAGGCCCTTGACGACTACTGTGCTGAGCTCTCTCTCCCTCTCTCTAGGACTCTGAGATTTTGAACACCGCTGTGCTGACTGGGAAGACAGTGGCTCTCCCAGTAAAGGTGGTGACCATTGGAATAGACGCCTCTGTTACTGACGTCTCTGAAGCAGTCAAGTGTCGCTCTACAGATGAAGATGTGGTCAAGGTCAGTGAGATGAACTGTTGAAAAAGTAATGAACCACTGTATCTCTTCAAATAGCTTTTTGCTAATGTATTTCCGAGACTCGCATAGATTTGAGTTTTTACATCAGGAACATTGTGTCACATGGTGACTAGATGAAGCCAGATGAAGTGCAAATATGATCATATAAATATGGTTAGACACACTGTTACTTTGATAAACAGAACAAAATTGCTGTTCATTTTCTCAATTGTCTAGTGTGTAAAGTGGATCCCAATGCACTTAAAAGTAAGTGAGAATGTTGAATTGATTAATATTTGATTAATTTAAATGCTAATAACTTCATTATTTTGTCCATTTACTGTAATAGACTGTTGGCACTTTGAAAGTTGAATGTTGGTTTTTAGAGCAACTCAAATGCAACAGCAAGAAAATACCAAATCAAACTGAAAAAGGATTAACTACAAATATGCATTTAATGAGTCACACTACTCAAGTATTGTCAAGCCTTACAGACATCGCATTAAAGCTTATGTGAAATCAATACTGTAAGTATTAAAAATGCGACAGATAAGAAGGTTTTCTATGTTTAGCACATCTATATAAATCCTCCAGAAAGGATAAACAAACACCAGCAAACAACATGAAAGTGTGTGTTTGATATGCAGCAACTGCTGACAGGTTGCTCAAGTTTTCCTTTATTTTTAGAGCCCCTTTCAAACCTGGGGCACAAGGCACAACAGAATAAAAAGTCCCTTACAGTGTTATAAAGTTGAGCCCTCAGTGGCTTTGCCCTCCAATAAAAAAAGAAGTTGCTCTCCACCAGAATCCCAGTGACTCCTTAATAATCTATTGAAAGACTCAATGAAAAACCAGAGAAAAAAAAATCACATATGTCTGCGGCCTGTTTCCAATTCCAAGTGATGACGCTCAGTATCTAAAAACAGCACACCGCTGTGCCAAGGGCTCCTTCCAATCATGTTTCCTGTTTGAACCTGTCAAGATCAGAAAAGGATAGCGGATGTAGCTAATCAAATTCAAGTAATCTACACTGAAGAGTGATAATGACAGAAAATCAGAAACTAAAGAAGAGGAGGATATTTTGCCACATCGATCCACTTTATCATGTCTGATGCATGAGTTAGGGATGGTTAAGTGAGCACAAGAGGGAAATTAAATTGCAGTCAAAGATACTGTAAAAAAAAAAAAAAAAAAAAAGCCACAGCTGTGCCTCTGAGACCTCTAGTCCAGAGCACTCATCGGGCATGCTCACTGCTGCTCACTCAGGGAAGTTTTTTTCTAATCATAGTCTGAGATAGTGTATGTAAACATGACTAATTTATCTAATTTTGACCTAGGGAATTAGTGATAAGTAAACGCAGAGTGACACTAACCTGAATAATGAATCACTGAGCACATTAAATGTTGCTTCTATTCACTTGTGGCCTTATAATTACAGTGAATTTGAAAGAAACACCTCAGGTCACACGCTCTCTCTTTAATCCTCTTTGGAGATTTTTCATGCTTTAAAAAATTTTGGCTGACATGTGTAGGCTGACATGTGATGTGTATCAGTGGGGAACCCTGAGTATTAGAGCTAGGCCTGTAACCCAACCCCCATCCATAACTGTCACTTTATTTCCCTGTGACTACTCACATGCATATCAGCCAATAATTGTGTTGTTTTTGTTATTTTTCTATCCTTGAACTTAAACTATCCTTTTGTATTTAATACCCAAATCTAGTCTAAAATGACTGCTTTGCTTTGCTGGTAACACCTGCAGGGTTGACCCATCTATATCAATCACACTGTTAAGCACAACCTAAGTTATAACAGTACTGGTTGTGCACAGAAACTCAACCAAAGAAATCATTATAAATCAGTATTACGCTACATTTTTGTTTGGGTTAAACTAGGGTGTGTGACCCTAACTTCTCAACACAGACATGACAAAAGTGATGCAAGCGCAAAAAGAAACTTGATGGAACTGTCTTTTGGGATTCTGTTTCCGGCCGTTGGAAATTCATTGAAACACAGCTACATTAAGCTTGACAGTTAGCCTGCTATGGAGCAGCTAGTTCAGCAGTATAAGTTACCATGGTTACTGAGCAGGGGATCCTATAAGCCACAGTGATGGAACGGAACTCTGACTTAGCAAGACTTACAAAATAAGCCAGAATTTTCCATTATCTGCCCTTTATGGCCCAGGTCCAATGATCCTTCAGTAGTCACAGTTTATTTATGGGCCCCAGCTCTCATCAGCAGTGATGAAAACATGATACGGCTATGGACACTTTCCGTGCTGTGAGGTCTTTCAGGGCACAAACACTGTAAACAGACCTGTCACCTGCCCAGCACGGTGCTGTTAAACCACAAACACTCCACTGAGAGTGAGCTGCACTCAAAAAGTTAACACACAATCACAGACCAAACCATATCACATGGAGACTCTGATAGTTCACAGGAGCACCAAACCGGGATGGATCCATTTTAGCAATCTACACAGCAGCTAGCAGCTCACTCTTTTCATCTTGGTCGCTGGTGACCAGTTTAAAGCCCGTGCAAAGCAGCATATTGACACACACACAGATATAAATGCTGTTGGCAATATTGACATGCTACACATCCTAAACCAGCAAGGCTGTGAAACAGTGGCAATTCCCTACCTGTGAAGTCTGATTATGTGTCTGTTCTCATTATTTATAGTCCTTTAGTCCATAAGGGTCCACTCATCAAAAGTATATTCCAACTTGTCAGTACTGTCATGTGAAGTCCATCGCAGACTGACTGATCTCCTAGCTTAAACCTTCTTTCGTTTATTGGCGGGTGGCAACCAGCATTAATGTGCATTACCGCCACCTACTGTGTAGACCAGAGTTAAATATCCCCTAAAATAAAATGAAATAAAATCTAATTTTATAAACAAAAGACATGCTTCAGGCCTTCTGTGATGGTTGTTAAGTCCTAACCAATAAGTAAGCCAGATAACCTTTTCTCTGGCTAGATCACAAAAAAAAAAAAAAACTGATTGGATAACTCCATTTTCCTGGTTTCAGGGCAGTAACCCTTTCATTTCTGAAACAAACTTGATAAAAGAAAATGATACATTAGGCTTCATTTAGAATTATAGGTAAGTAATTATAAAATTTGTTAATATTATTATTATCTTTTACTAAATGAAAGATATTGAAAATAACTCTTAAAATGCTGATGATGTGTTTGCAAACTACAAGCTAGACGGCAAGTAGCCACAAACACAACTCCAAATGAATGACACTGTTCTGTATCTGCTGGAAGTGTAAATATACAGTGGTTAGGTAACAAATTCGCCATATCAATTCAAAAATTGATAATAAGTCAAGCTATGTTGTGTTCATAGCTTCTTTCCACTGCCCCCAGGTGGCCATAAAATGATGTGAAAGCCTATACATGAGTTTTAAATGTTTAATTTTGTGAATTTTCTGCCCTGGATTTCAATGAAAATGAAAAATTATGAACATTCACTGAGTAACTCATATTTCCATATTTTGGCATTAAACAAATGTCTCAGAATTTATCTTTGCCTCTCAAGGTCTTCGGATGGATTTCAGTTTCTGACATAGAAAAGAATAATTAAAACAACAACACAAATATACTCCACTGTTGTGTGTTCATGAGTTTCCGGAGCATTATCTATCACCATGTTAGCCATGAACTGTAGTTACTCAAGGTCGTGCTATGAGTGGGCACTTACAACTGCTGCTCTGATGAAACAGGGCTATTAGAATATGTGCAGACCTTCCTCTTGTGTTGAAGTGAGTGGTGTAGCTTATGCAGAGGAGTCTGAGCGGCTTAATTGCTTCTGTCAAGCCAACTCTGTGTACAAGCCAGAGACAGGCTCAGCCCACCTTCATGCTCCCTACTCCCATCGCTCATATCTGCCGTGGATTGTATCTGTCTGGTGAGTTGTTAATTTCCTTGGCTAGATCCAGAGACAGCCTTAATGTCCTCTGTAAGTATTCTCCCGTTAGCTGCCTAATGTGTCTGATTAATGTGGCAGTGGATCCTCCTGGACGTTTATGATACTTTATGAATCAGAATGACGGAGAGTGTGCAATTCACACAGACAGTCCCGCCCTCAGTCTGCCGCAACACACATCATGCTGGGAGGGTGTATGAGGGGTTAAAGGGATTGCTGATTAAGTGGGGGGGGGGTGTCTTTATATGTTAAATATTGATTTGGAGCTATGTTGGCCAATAATATAGCATAGTAGGAGGGTGTAAGCACATCAATGTAATGTATTGGGGTGGCTGGATGTCAGCTGCCATGTTTTCCATAATTGTTTCTGCTTAGATTGTTGGGGAATAGATTGAGGAAATGCCAGCAGGCAGTTAATTTGCCTGTCACAGGACATACTGCAGCAGAGCTATATGTTGATAAATCCCACACTCATTTACACATTTTTTTTCCTAGTACAAATAGAGGTAACCTTGCTTCACATATTTTTTGTGAATGTGGCAAGAAAAGTAAGACTGAAAGGATAAACATATTTGTCAGTAGCATCCATTTTATCGATTATTCATATCACAGTTAGATATGGTCAATGAGCCTCGCAGGGAGCCCAGGTCCTTCATATCCTGCAATCTACTGCTCGTGCGGACAGGTTTGCAGAGCCCCGGCTTGTGAGAAAAGTCTAAGACGAAGGGGTTGTCAAAGGCACTTCAGTCTCAGCAGACTGAGTGTAGTGAGAGAGAAAGAGCTGAACAATGAGGGCTGATAAGGAGCAGGGACTCCTCTGACATCTTTATCAGTTTAAACACACTCTCACACTGGGAGCCCTGATGGAGCCCAATCTGCTCCATGACTGACTGTAGCCGCGGGAGCGATGCCGCCCTTGTAGAAATGTTCAAAAGCTTCATTAAGCAACTCTGTCAGTCCCTGTTACATTGCAGTGTCGTGCGGCACTAGTGCTCGAGCAAGGTACTACTATAAATGTTCTCTTTATTGGCTGTAATATCATAGAGCAAATATCCATTGATCCTGCGAGCGTCCACTTGAGAATGCAGGGCTTGTGCAGTTTTGAACAGACGTTCTCTGAAGGTTGGCTGTAGCCTTGAAGGATGCCCTGCAGCAGCCTTTTCAGTTTTCTCACAGGAGCTTTCAGAGATTCTTGTCTCTGGCTCAGGCCAGTGTACAGACATAAAGTCCAATGCTTTGTTAGGTTGCTGTTGGGTAAGGACCTTTATGTATCATTTAAAATTGGTCAAGAGAAGGTGCCTCGAGGTGGTAGTGTGCATACACTTGAATATAATATCCAATGCTGCAACTAAATTATGGTTAAGCAGGGTTTTTCCTGCATAGAGAACTAGGAGGCGGCTGCCTCCGTCAAATTTCGTGCCGCCTCTGCCTCTCGACAAAATTCTAGTACTTGTGTTCTCGGAACTCGGTGGATTTGGATTAACTGCAATTGCGGCTGGACGCCACTACGGCAATGTAGTGGCGCAGTTTCCATGTAATCTGTGCATCAGGTAGAGCCATCCGAAATTGCCAAAGAAGAACAATACGAATGCGCTGGATTTTCTGCCTGCGGAAGGAGGTGGCGACCTTATTTTGTGGCTCTTCAAATAGGTGAATAGGCTTGCCATCTGTCCCGTATCGTCCCGTATTGGAAAATAAAATGATTCTAGTACTTGTTTTCTCAGTACTCGGTGGATTTGAATCCATACGGGACACAATTTGTCCCGTATGTTCGTTCATGTAATGTCCTCAAAGTGCTGTGAATAATGTAATGTTAAGTAAAACCAAACCAATTGCCACATTTTTTCACATAAAAGGTGGCAACCTTACAGATGAATATTATCTCTTCTCCATCCAGCACACCCAGCTTTTTGAAAAGTTTCCCTAAATTAACGTTACATCCCATCATGTATGTTTTTTTTTTTTGCAGAAATGTCTGAAATCACAGATTATTTTAAAAAGAGAGTTTGCGAGGAGGAGAATCACGAGGATAGGTGAAGCAGTGGAGAGTGCAGACATCATTAGTTCTAATATTGGAAAAAGATGTTAATTCATGTTACTGACGAGATAATATGTCAGCACTGGAAGTAGGCCTAGTTCTCAGCCCTCCTTTGAACTTTGAACCTCTACTCTACTACATCGGAGGGAAACATTCTACTTTTCACTCTACTACATTCATTTAACAACCATTTACTTTTTCAGGTAAAACATATCGTACTGTTAAATAGTGAACCAGTTTTACCCAACACAAGTTGGGTAAAACTGGTTCACTATTTCCTTTTTGGCTTGTGCCCCTTAGGGTCTCATTGTCACGTTTCACAGTTGTTAGCACTTATGACATTCACCCAGTAGTAGGAATGATAATGATAATGGCTAAGGCAAATGATTTATGTTTAAAGGAGATATTTGTGTGTTTTGCTATCGCTACATGGCAAACAATAGCATTTTTTGTTTACTAACCAGTCTAGAGAAAACGTTGCAAGTTAGTAGCATCAAACTTCATTCCTTTACTTACCAAGAGCTGTCTCCAGCAGTGGAAAGCAACGCCAATGTTGACTCTTGTCTCTATCACGTCTTTTCTTCTACTGAAGTTAGCACGCTAACCAACTAGCTAGCAACTCACTGTAGCCTCCAATCTGGCCTGAAGACGTAGCACTGCTCAGCGGGCGTATTATAACCTCTTTCATTATAAAGTAGGGCTGGGGTGAAGCCACGAGGAAATCGACGTAATCGATTATGTAAATACATCGATTTACATAACGTGTGTCGACGCGTCGCAAGGAGGAAGTAAGATAGTTGTGCCATAGACAGTAGAGGATCTTTGGCTGAGCATGGACTCCACCGAAGAGCAAGCTGAAGCTGAAAAACATCGCCAACTATAATTTAAAGTAGGGGAGTATTTTAAACAGGAACTGAAGAACATGGTGCCCTGCAAGCTCTGCAAATAGAAATGGCATATCACAGTAGTACTATCACGATGCTCGAGCACTTGGAGCAGAGCTTTATTTTATAGAGACTTTATATTAGACTGTTAAACACAGATTACCAGTTGAGACTGGGCTATTTTTTGTTGGGGAATAATGCCCTGCAGTGCATACTTTGTTTGTCATCTGTTTGTTTTAACCCTCTTAAGCCCTTGGGAGCGTATACGCTTCCAAATTTCACGTTGTCTGTAGTCATTGCTCCACGACCGTTTGCACTGGAGACGTGCAGTTTTTTTCTCCTTAAAACTAGACAATCGGCGCATTCAATCAATCAATCAATCAATCAATCAATCAAACAGTCAATCAATCTGATCGTCCGTGTGTCGTCACTGACTTAGATCGAGACACTAACATTGAAAGTTAATAAATATTTGGAGTAGTTTTACCGTTTTTCTGGCACATTACTGCTTTCTGTCCGTGTGTTTATTGATCGAATGTGATCTGCATTCTTTGCCAGTGACGTTTAGCGTCACATGACTGAATCAGACATTGCTATTGGCTCCATTGGGTGAGGTCACAGCCAATCAGAGTGACTGATTCAGAGGCTTGGCCTGCCTTGGCTTTATACCCAGATTAAATGTGAGCAGTGCTATTTTACTCTGATATCAAAGTGAGAAGTTGTTTAGAGTTTATTGAAGTGACAGAATAAAGACAGGAGGATGTGACAGTCACATATTTAGTGCAGCGGAGGATTTGGAGCTGATAGAATGAGAATGAGCATATCTCTTGAACAGATAAAGATAGAAACTTCAAATCACCTCTAGAACAACTCAAACAAATAAATACACATTTCTGTGTTGAATGTTTTCTTCTTTATAATGGTTTACAGTGTTTTTATCATTAAAAAAAGGAAAAATTCAAGGTTTGTTTTTGTTTTGTTTTTTTGTTTTATGGGCTACTAACCTCTATTATACTATACTGAAGTCTTTAATGAGTGACATTTATTATTAGCTATATTTATTATTATGCTGATTCTAAATATGTCACACTTGGTGAAACTGTTAAAAATGACATTTGAAAAATGAAAGTATTGAAATATAAATGACAAGTTTTCAAATTTATTTTGGGTAAATTTGTTGTTATATTAATCGAGTAATAAAAAAATAATAGTTAGATTAATCGAAAAAATAATTGATCGATTAATTGATAAACGAATAATGATTAGGTGTAGCCCTATTATAAAGACAACAATGGCTGAAGTGCTTGTCAAGCCACAATCACTACCACCCACTACTGGCAAGAAACCATGTTTAGTGGCAGAGAAAACAAATACCCCTTTAAGGTATGGTTAGGGTTGAGGAACTAAAACTCTTAAAATATTGTCAATTTAAAAAATATTATAATTACAGATTTTTAGCTCTGTGTGAGATGCAGTACTATTTGGACCTTATTTCCAGGGATGTACGGTTGTTGTCAATGTGGGCGTGAACAGAGGGGATTAACCGGAAGATCTTTCATGACTGCTTTGATGAAGGCTTTCCCACAAGTTCCTTACAAGCCCAACTAGTTCAGCCATCATGTAAAAAAAAAAACACAGTTCTGAGTATAAAGCGGAATTCAGGACATCTGCAAATATCTGCTTTTATTTATACAAATCTGCCAAATTTATTTTCCACAGAAACTCCCCTGCTGACTTCACCCTAGAGGTGATAGAGTGGAGGGAGCTCACATAAAGCTATAGAGTCTGTCACACAAAGTTTTCTTCCTGGTCACAGAGGATGTCCTGCCGCGGCTTCATGATGAATGGCTGTTTATGGTTTTATCTCACTTTTGAGAACTACTCTGAAGTAGCAAAAATATATGCTCCCGGACCATCTAGTTCCATCTGGTTCTAGCCAAGTCTGCTACATGTTGGTATCAACAAGATTTACAGAACACCCAGTAAAAACTGGGTAGCCCTTTGTAATGATTATTTGCCTCCATGCTATGTGTGTGTGTGTGTGTGTGTGTGTGTGTGTGTGTGTGTGCTTGATACCCCACTTTTTGTGTGTTTGCATATGTTATGTATTTGAAGTGTTTTGCACAACCATATCTTAAGGATTTTAAAGGGAAAGGATAGGAAAGAGAGAGGATTCTGGACATTAGTCAAACACTGGAACAAGTATAAAAAAAAGAAGGAGAAGCGGAGGGGGGGGGGCTTCAAAGCGAGCGAGTCAAAGCGACAAGGAGTTGTGTCTTTCGATAGCACAGAATTGGTTCATTCATTCCTATTGTAAAGCAATTTGTGAAACAGATGGCTTCTAGTTTGGTCACTTTATCAAGAGACAACTGCTCTCCTCTTACTAGTTTCCATCTGGTGGTTATTCTTTTAGCTGTAGGCTGAACTATAATAGAAGAGCAGACCGCGACCTGTTTTCCCTCAGGTTCAAAGATGTCCTTGCTGTCCTCCTCCCTCTTTTCCTGAGTGTGGAGCAGATAGAGGAGCTTTCATCTTGTTCAAAGCAGTTACAGGAATACTGTATCAGTAGAGAGCTCAGGAGTGTAAAGCCTTATAATCAACTTGGAGGGCCTGGCCTACAGTGTACACTGTACAGTATATTGCACTGTGTAATTCACTGTGTAGTCATCTAGTGCAACCGTCAGAAGTGCTCAGCTTAAATGCTCTCTCTCTTAATCCTTCCCTCTCCTCCCACGCAGGTGTCAGACAGGTGTGACTACGTTTTTGTGAATGGCAAGGAGATGAAGGGCAAGGTGAAGATGATGGTGAACTTCACCTACGGATACCTGAGTGCTCAGCTGGAGCTCAACGTGTGGATCCCTCGACTCCCCCTCCAGATTGAGGTGTCAGACACGGAGCTCAGCCAGATCAAAGGGTGGAGGGTACCCATCATGGCTCCCAGTCAGAGGTACTGTACTGCATGCATCTGCCAGTAACAGGCCTTTGTGACACTGTGTTCTGCTCTCTTATTCATCAAAAGTTTCTAATATGTCAGACTACACCAGAAGTAGAAATATAAAAGATGGTTTTCTGTGGTTATTTACAATAAAGTAATAAACTTAAAGGTTAATTCCAGCGGATGTATTCATTTCCAGTCATAGTAGCTGCCATAATGATAAGAGTATGAATGCACACCACACCACCTGTCTCCTCCTGACTACAGTCCTAGTGACAGTTCTTGGCTGATAACAAAATGGCTGACCTGTGCAATACAGCTTGTCATTACCACTGGCTTAAGGTGAGTTGCCATTGTGCCTCTTAGTCATCAGTAGGACAGAACATTATTAGAGCTGTCTGGAGGTCAGACCTCTCCCTTGGGGCCTCATCACTAGCAGCACCTCTGCCAGCGCCGCTGTGCAGCGCTGCTCTGCAACTGTTGAAATCTATCAATTGATGGAGCAGCTATCAGCCTACCTGCAGTAATTACTTCTGGAAAAGCTTTGAGGTTCGACTTGGACTCATCCCACACACCAGTGTGGCCGCTCTAATTATCCCTGCTCCCTTCTTATTTTGAGTGACAGGGGTACAGCATTCGAGTAATGCCATGGCTTGTCGAAGATGTTGCTTTCCCAGCTGTGCGCTAGTATGCCTTTATCAACGGGGACAGCCACGTTGTGTTGTCATTGTTGACGCCAGCGCCGCTGCTGATGGGCGGCAGAAAAAGCTTTGTTTCTCCCTGTCTTCCACCCATCTTTGTTTATCTGGGGATAACAGACATGACCTTGCAAAGTAGCACCATGCCTGTTGGTGAGAATGGGCTTTTGGTCCACTGTCCATAAGCCCACAAGGAACTGTGCCAGTGAGTGACAATAGCAAGTGGCAGGACCTTCCTCTATCAGCTAGACTGGCAAGTCATGAAGTCAAATAGAAATGAGAAATAAAGAGACATCAGGGCTGTTAGTGGAATAGTTGCAAAAGTACTGCTTACACAGTTTTTGACTGACACTGCCTGTATGGCTCACCTCTTCCCTCTCTAAGCCCTGTCAAAACAAGGACAAGATAAGCCTTCGCAGACAGCAAACCTAAGTGTAGGCGTAGCACTCAGGCATGCACCACTCCCTTAACACTTCTTTCAAGATGTGTGTACTGAGATTCCTTTTTTCCCTTGTTTTATAGTGCTTTAAAAATTCTCTTGCACTTGGCCTTTTATTACTCAATTTTTAATGTTATTTTTATACTGAGTTGTCTTAAACTATGTGTACTGAGTCTTTTTCTTTCTACTGTAAAACAAACAGCTGTACCTGAATCCCCTACAAGATTCAAACAAGGTTTAAACAACAGAAAAAAACCCACAAACAAAACAATCAACCCTTGTCAGATAGAGCTGATTCTGTATATATAGAAGCATCATTGCCTATTTCTGTCCAAATGACCTTTGTCATGTTATTGTAGCAGAAAATGAAATGCAGCAAAATGCCAAAACAAATACAGCACACGATCTACGGGGCACAACAAAAATAAGCATGGCACAGGCATTAATATGCAGCATCTCCTCTGAAGTTGGAGCTGGGCTTGAAAGTGAATGAAGCGGAAAGAAAAATTGCTTTGTGAAGCAGGTTGTTCTCTGCGCCAAGTGTGATTTGTTTATTAGATTAACCTTAGATTAGATTTTGAGATGGCTGCACAAGAACTGGCATATCAGATTTATACCAGAGCTAAAATGGTTGGACTTCACTATCAGTTTGTTTACTCCTGAATCCATCACATCTGACTAATACCTGAATGTATAAATGTCCTTATAAATGCACTCTTTAAACACTGATTCACTCAATATGTCAGTACATACTCTTGCAACATTAGTGCTATTTGTCAGTTCATTGACTGTGAATGTCAAATAACAAATTCTGTTTACACTCAAAACTCACAACTCTTGCGGTATGATTCAAAAAGCGTTTCACCGAAGCAGTGAGAAACTTTTAGTTACTGCCAGTGGAATAATTGGAAGATGGTGACTGAAATCACTGGCAGATGGTTTTCTCCTCTGCATGTAATATGTAAATGAGTGGAGAGAGCGTGTCGAGACAATAGAGAACAGAAATTTTTTTGAAAGAACAGAAATTATGAATTATGTAAAAATGATTCACAAATTCATGTATTACAAACCTTAGTTTGTGTGTTGGAATAAACAGCGTTTCTGAACAAGAGCTAGATTTTATGCAGCTGGGAGTTCTTTTGTTTATATGTGAATCCGAAGGTCGGCCTTTAATTAGTTGTGGTGGACTTAAAGTGACCCAGCGATGAAGCTCTCTGCATTTGATGAGACAAAAAATATAATGGACCAAAAAAACCTCAGATAACCCCGTCTTTACCTGGGAAGTTGATGCAGTGTTCCACTTCTGTGTGGGAAATGACACAGAATACATCAGTGGAAGAGTTAGCACTCATGAATATGCATTAAATGGGAAATATACGACCTACAGAGGCACAGTTTATCTGCTAATCTATTTTAATCTAGCGTTTCTAATACAGCGTTAAAAACAAAACAATTAAAATACAATTCAGAGTCGTATTAGTGGTGTTATGCAGGACAAACAGCAGCTCTACAAACTGTGTTTCGTGACAAGACTTGGACTGATGACTCCAGACTGAGGCTTTCATTTCAGTTAGGAAAAAAGAGCTGTTGCATAGTTTTGTGCACATTTGCAACATTTAAACTGAAATGACAGGTGGTGGGTTGTTGTTTGGTCACTGTCAAACAAATCTGATGAAACCACAGTCACACAGCCTTAATGAAATACTGTGCATTTTTTGAGTGTTAAAACGTTGTTTTATTCAGTCGTGATTTTTATATACAGTAAAAGTTTCAGGGGCAGTAAAACTTTTTTTATTTGGACACCACAGTTCATTCAAAGTTTGAACTGGGTATCACTTTCTGTTCTTGAGCCATGTTGAATCCTGAATTTAATGATCCTACAATATCCACAGAAGAATAATTTCTTCTGTTAATGGCTGTCATTCAGTTGCATGTGAAATTGGTCCTGCCGGCAAAGGTTTTAAGCCCCTAACTCCAAGTCTCGCTGTACTCTCGGCTTTTCTCTGGAGCGCGCTGCTAACATCTTTAGTCCCACGGCTTCGCATGCAGTCAGATTTCTCAGGGGATTCAGACAGAATGAGACAAGTAGAGCGGATAATCGCAAGAAAAACAGTTTAAGAGATTAATTTCTTTTCCTCTCCCCTTTATCATGATCACAACCTTTGCTAGTGTGTATTTGTGTGCGAGAGAGAGGGAGACAGAGGAACAAATGATGATGATTAGACAGAGAGGCGGGTGTTAAGTCTACAGTACAGGAAATGATTAGTAGTTTCGTTGACAAAGCACTTTTCTGTGTGCAAGTATCCCAGGTTTCCATCATTTATTCTCCCAGATCAACCATTCAAACATTGCTTTCTCAACATCTCAGGGTGCTTTATCTGTTGTTTTTAAAAAGTTGTTTGTTGAAGCAAAATAAAAGAAAACAGTTATGGGCAAAATCTAATGATATTGCAGCTGTAGTGTAACCATTTAAACCCAGTTTGTCATACTCACAGCAATTTCACCGGTGAGAAAGAGCTGAGCCTCTGTTGGCTGATTTGTTGCCTACAGTAATAAAATTAGATTTGCTAGCAACAGAGCAATCAGGGAGGCTATTAAGTAAAGCAGTAAAGAGGTGTATGCACATTCACAATCCAGACCTGGTGCTCCAAAATGGTGAAGGAGAGACACTGAGAGAGAAAAATGATAGCCATACGTTGGACTGATTCATTCTTCGTGGTGTAATCAACAATACTGCATCATTACTGGATCTTTGTCAAGTAAACATCCCTGTCTGAGTTACACCGCAGTGTGTCAGTACATGTGACAGAGATTGTTTTGAGTGAAAATGCTGCTGAAAATGCCAGAAACCACACCATCATTACAGAGTGCAGTGCTGATGTTTTCTCTTCTCATCTTTGAAAAATTGCTTATTGGCACAAAACACAAAGTAAAGCTGAGGCTGATGGGAATGTCATTAGTTCTAACAAGTACAGGCATTGGACAAATTCAGATTTTAACCTGGGGTTGGATAAAATGTCAGGGAATAACCAAAGTTACTACATTTCACCCTGAGCAAAATCAGTGTGTGTGCCAACTTTCTTGGCAATCCATCCAGTAGTTGTCAGGACATTTCACTCAAAAGCACAAATGTCAACCTCATGGTGGTGGAAAAAGTCAGGGGAAAGTGAGGGGATCACCAAAGTCATCAGGAGTCATCCCCTGGGGACCATGAATGTCTCTACTTAATTTTATGGCAATTCATCCAGTAATGACCAGTGATTTTATTTGAGATATTTGAGTCTGGACCAACCAACTTTGCTATCCCTGAAGTATAACAGTTTTTTTTTCTTTTTTTTTTTCTTTTTTGTCAGGTCTACACGGGACAGCGAGGATGAGGACGATGAAGACAGACGAGGACGAAGCTGCACTCTGCAGTACCAGCACGCCATGGTTAGAGTCCTGACCCATTTTGTAGCAGAGTCAGCTGATTCTCGAGGCCAGACGAGCTTCATGCTCGGCACCGACTGGCAGGTGGACATCACAGAGCTGGTGTGGGACTTCCTGAAGGTAGAGGACCCCCAGATTGCACAGCTGCTGGACAGGAGGATACTGGTGGGACTCGATATGGGGATGACCACTATCCAGGTAGGCCATGTGTCAGTTTTAAAGGAGCTATTTGTACGATTTGCTATTGCTACATAGTCAACGATAGCATTAACAGCTGTTTCCTTACCAGTCTAGAAGAAACATAATGAGTTCCTCATTAAACTTCATTCCTTTACTCGCCAAGAGCTGTCCAATATGGTAGAAAGCTCCTGAAGTTAGCGACTCGCTGTAGCCTCCAATCTGCCCTGAAGACACAGCGCTGCTCAAACGGAGTATTATAGCTTCACTCTATAACCTCATATTGTACAGACAATGATGCCCGAAGCTCTTGTCAAGCTCAATCACCACCACCTGCTCGTGGCAAGAAATCACATTTGGCAGCAGAGAAAACTTACAAATAGCCCCATTAAAGGATTAATAAATGTTAATTCCACTTGAATATTTATTTTTGGGTCTTATTTTTGAAATTTTGGTCATCATTTTTACAGCGCTATCGGGTGTTAGATTTGCACTCACCAAGTTAATTGGTGACATCGGTCAGACGGGGAAACATGAGTGGCTGAACGATCATTAAGGTTTGGAACAAACTCACAGGTTAGCCAAAGTTAGAAAAGAAAAGGAAGATGAGCAGTAAAATTATTACTCCAATTGGCTGTTTAAACATCAAACACAGTTTAAAGACTGACTTCCTTGTTCAACTTTGACCTATTGAACTTTCCATATTTTTTCACACACACAGTTTACTGACATTTTGTAGTGCTCACATTCAAATAAACTAGTTTAAGTCACATGTCTAATTGTGTGTTTCTTGGTCCGCTGGATTTCACTGTAGTAATGTGACCATGTTCCCCGATCTCAGCAACTTCTTTGTGGAGTAAAATATTATCATGATTGAAAGAAATCACTAGAACTATGAAAAATAAGACCAAAGTTTTAACTCAGTGGTGGTTCCTATACACACGGGCCTAAATGATAATGAAAAAGCTACAGAGTGCTAGTAATTTTAACATTCCACTTGTGTCAGTTCTTCCCAAATTAAGTCCATGCTTCCTGTCTCAAAGAGGGTCGAGCCACATGTCCGTCTCCCTCTAACTCATCAATGCTTTATGAAGAGAACGATGAGAACCCGGAAACATCTCCTGATAACAGGGAATATGCATTCACTCATTCTCCCATCTGCCATTGCTGGGACCTCCTACAGCTCCAGACATGTTTGTGTCGGAGGATCAGCGCCTGCTTCCGATCTCATGATGTTCAGGTTTCTCCCAAAATGTGATGACACACACCGTAAAATGCATTGCAGAGGACAGTGGAGTTCTGTTTTAGTAATTAGAGAATATAATGACGTAATGTCTTGAAACTAATATAGCAATGATTTTATTACTGTGAGAGAATCACCAACATTCTAATTATTTGAATTATTATATAAAAAGGTGTATGAAAAAAAACCCGCTAGATATATTTGTATACTTTATTTAACTTCACAGTGGTACATTTTTCTCTCAGCACAAAACACATGTTAGAATAACATACTGCTGGAGCGTGAACATACCATTTATTCCAGGGACTATAACAGATGCCATTGTCACTGCTGCGATTTAACTAGTATGTCCTTTTGTCTGGTGCAGACAGGTGCTTACTGATGTGTCACAGCCTGTGCTGCGGGCTCTCGGCAGTGAGTGGGTCCTCCCCCTCGCCCCTTTGGTTTGTCAGGCTCTCCAGGCTAACTGGATGAATATCAGCCTCCTAATGGCATCTGTGTGAGTGGGATCTGCTTCCTGGTGTCAAGGACTCACCCGTCTGTCTGTGTGCAGACGCGCCTTCACCTTCGCAAAACATCCGTGCTCTCACAAAAGAACCATAAACTGGAAAAACAATGACGAGCACGAAGGTCTGACAGCTGTGACCACCCGTGCCATGTGCCACACAGACTGCTGCGTGAGCGAGATGTTTGCATGCAGAGAAAGTCACACATACCTCTCATGGTATTCATCATAAGGACAGTCACACTTCCTGCCTGTATTGTGGGGTTAAAGTGTGTTTCTCCTCTAGATTACCAGTATTAATCAAAGGGAATAGATTCCCTTGGGGTTGGATGGAAGCCAAGTGAGTGAGAAAAGAGATAAAATAAAAACTAGGTTTTGTGTATCATTTTGCATATTGTGAGGGGGCTTGTGAGTCTTTTATGTTAGATGAAACACTTGGAAAGACATTTTCTTAAATCACCTATAAATCGTGGTAATCCGCTTTTTTCATGTCGTTGACATCTTCACTCCTGAGAGCTCATTGATGTGATATTTTTGCATCCCACTTGCCAGGAATCACCTGTCAATCAAACGTTGTGACCAGTGCTGATTTATTTCTGCTTGAATTTTCTGTTGATGAAGTTTCTGTAGGTAGTACTCTTTTTCTGTGTGCGGGTGAGTTGCCGTCACTGCTGATTTCTCCTGGGAAAGATCTCCCCAACCCCGGTTGTTTAGAGCAGGAAATGAAAAGGCTTTCGTGAACCGGCTATACAGTGGGTTGAGTCACTATTGTTGAGTAGCGCAGCAGTAATTGATCATACCAGAATGTCCCAGGTTATTGCTTGACAATCACATATTTAAGAGGAATATTGTGAGGGGGGGAAAAACATATTGCTAAGCTTTCCAAATTCCTTTAATGCAGGAATGTGTAATCTCTTTCTCACTGTTGTGTTTTTCCACCTTCTAGGTGTTGTCTCCTTTGTCCGACTCAATCCTGGCAGAGAAGACTGTCACAGTGGTGGATGACAAAGTCACCATCACAGAGTTGGGGGTCCAGCTGGTGACGGGGCTCTCCATGAGCCTGCAGCTCAGTCCAGGAAGCAACAGAGCCATCCTGGCTACCACGACCACACAGGAGGTTCTGCAGAGCCCGAAGCAGGTCAGGATACTGTAATAGATACTGTATCAGGGTCCTGAAGTAAACTTTGAAACACAAATGAAGTATGCATTGAGCTTTGCTTCATAGTCCACCTCTCCCTTAGCTACCATAGTTGAATACAAAGCCTCCTATACAAAAAATAATGCTAATAGATTAAAAACAAAGACCAGTAATTATTTGCAAACACTATTGAGCCAGTCCTGATTAAGACAGCGAATGATGTTAATTTGTTTCATACAAGTAATTATTATCTCTAGCATACTGAATTATTCTTCATTGGGTTGATATCCATTTGATGAAAGACACGATTTTATACATCGACTGAAGCCAAGACGTGCATTTTTTCAGCCTTGATTACTGTTGCAGAAAACAAAAGACTTTCTTCCAGATTCCATTTCACACTATCAGGGTCCTTGAATGAGCAATTTTACAATCAAAGAAAGCTGCGAGTGTGCATGTGCTCATGTACACGTGTCTATTTGTTTGTTCCACACCATCCCTAACCCTCTTAACTCCAAGGCTTGAAAGCCAGAGTGTGACAGAATGTGTTTCCTTGGGCAGCTAATAGTAACGGGAGCTTAATCTCAGAGCATGCAAAAGCAACACCACAGCCTCTGTACCGAAATATGACTTACAGCCCAAACTTGGCCGTCTTGTCATATTTTACTTCCCTTCCTCATTCGCCTGGCTACTCTCATTGTGGCCTCTTTGATCTGCCCATCAAATTCTCTCACGAGTTCTCTGAACTGCTCCTTTACATTCCTCCTCACCCATCTCCCTCCGACTAAGGAAGGGATGGGGAGGCCATTTATCTGCCCTATCTCCATATTTAGTGTGAAGATAATCAGGCGGTACAGCACTGCAAGTCCTCTGGTGTCAGTAATTAGGGAGCAATGACAGAGCACTTTGGGGATCTACTTGTGTGCCTTTGGGGATTTGTCCTCTTGCAACATTAACAGGCAAATTGTGAAATTGCAGTAGGAGAAGGCCTTAAGATGCCCACTGTATAGCAAATCCTCATTCCCATGAACAATGTTTAATGTTACTGTTTGATCTTCCCCGCTTATCTTTTAATCTGCATCCCCCAAAGCTTAGGCCAAATAGCCGCTGAGTTAGCAGAACCATGCAACTTAGTGAGTTTGTGTTCGACTTACAATGTCTTCCACCATTAGAAAGCTCCATATACAGTACACTGTAAGTCCACGTGTCGCATTGACAAAAGGAACATTGAATCCAAATAATCATTGTGTGTTTTTTACCAATTCGCTACTCTCCTGAGAGGAAAAGCCAGTGGAAACAACCACTGTACCTGAAGAACATCATGGTTGATTCTCTAACTACCCAGCCTTGCAATTTAACAATTTCAGAGCTAATAAATTGGAAACAAATACATTCACATGAATGGGAAAGTGGACTTGGACTTTTCGACCCCACTATATAACTATTCTTGTCTGTTTCCATGAAATAAGACTAGACGTGGTATTTTTTTCACTATAATTTCCATTTCTTTGTAATACCAAAGCACAGCATGTAATCTTTGTGTCAGTGACTATGTATTTTCTCTTTCTCTGTCTCTGTTATATTGTTGTGTGTGTGTGTGTGTGTGTGTGTGTGTGTGTGTGTGTGTGTGTGTGTTTGTTTGTGTATTTCCACAGGAGGCCTTGATCAGCGCCTGGCTACAGTTCAGCGACGGCTCTGTGGCTCCTCTAGACCTGTATAATCCGGACTTTTTTGTCCTGACAGCCACCTCCCTAGATGAGGAAGTAGTGACAGTGCAGCAAGACCCCTCGTGGAAATGGCCTGTCATTGTGACTGAGGCGGAGGGCCAAGGCCTGCTGGTCAGGGTGGAGATGACTGTTTGTGAGGTCTGCCAGAAGTTCAAGCGCCGCAGCATCCTGGCAGCGGGGAACTGTAACATCAGGGTGAAGTTTGGTCATAGTGACAGCTCAAGGGGTGGGAGCAGCGACTACGGCCCCGATGGAGACGATATGGAGAACAGAGGCAGGCTCTCCCCCTCCCAGGACAGGACCGGACTTAACACCCACTACTATGGTAGCTCCATCTCTGACATGGAGGACGGGGTGTTGAGGAGAGCCACCACCACTAGAAGCGCAATAATGCGCCGACCCAATGGGGATAAACTGTCAAACGATGGTAGCCAGAACATGCCAATTGACTTTGCTGACTTCCCCGCACAAGTGGACCTGCCACGTGGCCGCAACATGGACGATGACCTCATTCAGTCTGCTCGCGGGCTCACAGACCTGGAGATCGGCATGTACGCCCTACTGGGGGTCTTCTGCCTTGCCATTCTGGTCTTTCTCATCAACTGCATCTCCTATACCCTGAAATACCGCCACAAGGAGCTCTCCATTGAGGGCCAGGAGAACATGAACCACGCCCACGATTGGGTGTGGCTGGGGAACGAAGCGGAGCTGCTGGAGAGCCAAATCAGCCTGTCGCCGCAGCAGGAGGAACAGACCTCCATGATGGACTCTAGCAGCGGCCTCGAGGAGGGCAGCCATTTGCTGAACGGAGGCTCGGCCCAGAAGAACGTCCAGGGCCAAGTGCACCGGACGGCAGACACGGGCTGCATAGCCAAGGACAGCAAAGGAGACTCACCCACCACTAAGAGGAAGCGCGTCAAGTTCACAACGTTCACCACCATCCCCTCGGACAATAGCTACCCCACTGTTAACACACTGACTGGATGCCGCAGCCAGGACATTAAGTGGGTGTGCCAAGACGTGGAGCTGGGAGACTCCAAGGAGTTACGTAATTACATGGAAAGGTTAAATGACAGTGCTTTAAAAGAGGTGGCATAATGTACTGTGTGCACTTGTAACAAACTCACCCTTATGCCTTTCAGAGGAAAGTGGTCTGGACAGAAACCCGGACCCATAAGTAGGTGAAAGAGGAGGAAAGTTACTTCAGAATCACCCCAAACTGCCAAAGGGTCATTAAACTTAAGAGAACTGTCATGATTCCACAAGTGACTGATGATGAATCACTAACTAAAAATATGTCAATGAATGAGGGCGTCAGGTGATTCTTTTTTTTGTCCATTTGCTGATCAGATGATTACCTTTTTATCATCATTTTATTACTACAGGGTTTAGATAGAATTCAAGTAATGATCCCGGGACTCACCTGCAGCAACTACGACCTGTGATATTCAGACGACATGTAGATTTTAAAAAAGAACAGTAACATAAGTAGATAGATGTTCCGAATGTGTGTGCACATTAAATGGTTTTGGAAGTTTTGTAACATTTTGGATATTAATTTCTTACGCCAAATCCTTATTGTGTGGAAGAGTTCTGGAGAGGCCAAAGCAAGCCAAGAGAAATATCTGCATGTCGTTGGAAAAAAAGAAAAAAAGAAGAAAAAAAAAGGCACAACTTTCCGGTTCATTCTCATCCTCCTTAACACGGCAGAAGACCTGTTATGTATATACTGAACAGTCTCCAAAGCATTGTATTGTTGCTCTGTATATTGTATTTTCATAACATTTAAGGAATACACAATAATGTCAAGAGTGTGTATCATCTTTTATTGACCGCAGCCTCATAAAGCTAATCATGTCTCGCATCCTTAGGTTAGCTGGGGGGTTGGGTGGGTGGTTGGGTGGGTGGGGGGGGGGTTTAGCCACAAGCCACAACACAATATGTTACACTTTTAATGGCTGCCAGTGGAGGAAGGCAGTGGCCATTAATACTCTCATCTCATCTATTAGAATACCTAACATGACAGCCAGTGTATGAAGGAGCTTTTAAACTAAATGGCTGGACAACATGGTAATGTGACATTTCCTACTCTCACCCCGCAGTTTAAAGTTTTGTGAGCTTTGAAGAAAATGCCAATTAAGGTCTCGTTAACCTCTGTTCCATAGCCTCCAGGAAAAAGCGTACACTGATGGACAAACTGGGATATAATATGCTCTCCATCTCTTGGGGAGCGTGTAGATACAAAGAGGGATAATTACCGGCAAGGTGGGAAATGTTTTCTTTTTGGAAATGGATCATTTATTATTCACATAATTGCACAAATAATAATCATCCCTGAAAACTTCCTAAACAAAGGCAGTCGGTTGAAAAATTGCATTTTGCACAGTGAACGTTATTATCATCACAGTGGTGTTGGCTGATTGCATTTTTTTCGTGTTATTATTTTCCATCAAGCAGAGAAATGTTCACATTATGTTAACTGTTGCTGCAGTGTGGATCAGATTGTTAATCAGCAACGCTCACAATATTAGCTTGGAAGACGGGAGGTGAGATACTTCAGCAAATGGTAGCACTACCTTGAGTGTAATTAGGGATGCCATTTAGATTAGCTCAGTTATGTCAACAGTCAGAATTGAATGGAGCCCCTCCAGGCATCTGTAGGAAACTTTAGTGGCTTTTCTACTTTTATTTAATCAGTTCAAGTAGCTTGTTGATGGATTCTCTTTCCAACTTCTGTGATGCTGCTGTTGGTCCACTGTATGCTGAATTAACATGATGACAACAAATGGAGTTCAAGTAGAAAGATAATAAGCAATGATGGATATTAGGATAGAAAGGTGCAGTTCGGCAAATGAGCTTATTTACTTTCTTGCCGACACTTTGCTGAGAAGATCGACGAGACTCTCATGTCTGTATGGTAAATATGAAGCTACAGTTAGCAGACTCTGTGTGTGAGCCAGGCTAGTTGGTTCACTGTTTCCAGTCTTTATGCTAAGCTAAGCTAACTGGTTTCTGGTGGTGGCTTCATGCATTTCAAACAGACATCAGCAATCAATCTTATCATCTGTCTAGCTACGGTAATGTTTCCTGGTTTTACAATATTTGGAGCATTGATTTTTCTCAGTGTAGTAATAGTGATAAAAATGAAGACCTTAGCGTAGCCACTGCACGCACACACACACACACACACACACGCACAGAGGAACAGCTCCCCCTCCTCACTGCTTTGTCTCTGTTTCTGCTCTGTCCTAAAATATTTCTCCTTTTCTTCCCTCTGTGGTGCGATCTGCTGTCTCTTGTGTTATTTTCCTGCTTCTGTGGCTCTATTGGTGGCTGCAGGGGACTGAAGCGAGGGGGGGGGGTCCGTGTGCTGTGTGTGCTGTGTGCTGGGACTGTGGCTGCTGTACTCAGCCTGTGGACTGTGAAGGGCGAGGGGAGCCAGAGTAGTTCTGGGAGGGATTTAACTGTCAGCCACAAGGGGCATGATTGATGGAGGGCCCCGTGTAATTAAAACACCACTGTGACTCTCTTTCTGTGACCATCGTCGATGGCCTCAGCCTCCTCAGGTAGGAACAGCAGCGCAGCCCATTAAAGACGCACCGTCTCCACCCCCTTGGGCTCTGGTTTTAGACGTGTCCGTGCCTGCTGGGATGTGGCACTGCAGATATGATGATTTAATTCACTTCCATGGACTATGGTAACTCAAGAATCATTTTTGGTGGCCTTGAAGTCTTGACTACCCTGAAAGGAAAAGAAAAAAACTTCCCCAGGCCTCCATCTTAAATGGATTTTTAATTAAATTGATGATGTGAGACCAACAAACTCTCACTAATGGTTGGCTGTGCTCCCTGTGGTCCTAATGTGCCAGGTCTGTATTTGCAATTTCCAAATGATTATTCGCTGCTTGATTTATGTTGCTTCCTTTGAATTCATTTTAAAATCAGTTCACAGTACTTTTACAGAAGCTGAACACACACAAACACGCTGCTGCAGAAGAATGGAGGAACAGCTGACAAGGTCAGCTTGACATTCCGGTCTTGGCAATTTCTACAGATGGAGCCACAGGGCACCAAAGACAACATTGTTCATAAACAAAACCCTTGTGCCAAATCTATGTCTTGTAAACACAATCTCCCACCTGACCAGAGACCGCGCGCACACGCACACACACACACACACACACACACACACACACACACACACACACACACACACACACACACCACCACACACACACTTGTCTCTCTATCCTTGTAAGGGCTCTTTATTGACAACATTCAAGCTAGACCCTCACCCCAATTCTTCTATTCTCTGTTATTGTCAATAAATCCCACAAACACATCAAAAATTTCTTTTGACTTTCCCACCCTGTCAGTGTCACTTTCTAAGGTGCTAATCATAACAGATGTTTATAGTGCATTTGTTGTGGACTATTTTTAGCAGGGGATTAATACACATTTGATGCCCCAATGAGCATTTACAGGAGCAAGACAGCATATGTGGCACTGACTCAAAATAAACTGCAGTTTCCATGTTCATTGTATCGGAGGAAGATGTCATGCCGAGCATGAAAGCACAGAGGAATAACCTACACCAGGCTTTGGGATCAATTAATAGCTGGTTTTGGCTTTTTATAGGATTTGTTGACGATAATAAATATATAAAATGTTTCCAGCTTTATCCTTTCAGCTCATCCAAAATCCCCAAATAAACTGTTAACTTTGTGTGGGCTGGCCTTCTGGTCCCCAGAATCGAGGTGTGTCCTCCATAACGCTAGTGGACAATTAGGTTTTGAATCCCACAAAGTGATATAAACCCAAACTCTCTCTCTCTCTCTCTCTCTCTCTCACACACACACCCACACCCACACACACACGTATAAACAGATGCACAACAAAAACATCAGTGATGACTCAAACCCCCAAAGGTAATAAACAAATAAAGTGGCCAGCGAAGCCCTTCAGCAGCATGACGTGAGAACCCAACCATGTCATTTAGATGTATCGGCCCAGGAGGACTAGCAGGGCACCGAGCACAGGGGAGCAACATATCAGCCAGCGCTCTGAGACAGGCCGGGGCATTTTCTACCTGCTGGAAAACAATAGAAGGTCAGAGGGCTACCAAGATACACCTGGCACGAATGGTACTCCTCAATGTGCCTGAGAAAGATTTATCTCGATACCTGTACTGTTTTATGGAAGTCAAGCCCCATTCTGTACAAATAAGATGCTCTAAACCACAGGGCCTGCACATAATAACCAAGGTTGATGCTGTAAATCCAGACGGATGTACGCTATTAAAGCTTTTTACGGTTGCTTATTTCACAGATCATCTGTCTGAATGAACATCCTTAACCCGCAGTTGTGCTCAGTCCCACAGAAAACCGTCTTTCAAGCGAGAAGACTAGCACATTTTCTGGAACAGGAGATTGTGAGAGGTGCGGCGTATGTTTTTCTTTCCACAGCTCATATCCTCAGCAAGACTTCATTGGCGTAGCATGTTAGAAACAGATCAACCCTGAGTTTAAAAACTTGTCTCTTGTCCAACGCTGTTCCATTTGGAATCTCCCACAGAAAAAGGCTCCAGGATGCGTACCAACAGACAGAGCTCAGATAAGATAATTAGCTCTATGTAAATGTGGATGATTAGTACTTAGAGATGGGCGGTTTGTCTGCTTGGCCGTTTTCTTTAACATTGTGTCTGCATTAGCTTATCTTAATTAACATGTGATGATACCTCCTAATCCTCCAATTACTGGAGGAACATCTTAGGGAGCATCTGCCGGTTGCTCATTACACAGGTAAGACTGTGTAATACAATTAAAAGCAGCTTAACATTCTGTAGATTATGTTAGACTGCTACATGCCCCCGAAAAGAGTGGACAGGGGGGAGACAAAACTGTCTGACACAGAGCATGGAAAATGGTCTTAATCAAGCAATAAATATAATGGACATCAACATATACACACCAAATAAACTTCGTTAATTCTAAACTAAATATATTTGGAGAAAGTAAATGCCACTGACAGAAATCTATAATCATAGCTTAATGTCTATTATTTATGTCTGCACTATAGGCAGTTTTCTTGTAGTTCAAGGCAGGTAGGAAATAAACAAGACCAAGAGCCTAAAGCCATGCTAGCAGCTGTGTGAGGTACAGTAGCCCTGAGGGTCAAAACACGACATTTCAAAAAAACAACACACAATTTTTTTGTGTGAACTGTTGTTGTGTTTTGACCCTCAGTAGTGACGCCATGCTTAGGCACGGCTTTCAGCTAAATTTATTTCTGTCAAAACACAATTACAGACCTCATGGCGGCACCTACGGGAGAAATCAGGGGATCATGAACATCATCAGGATGCATCCTCTGGGAACCAGGATTAACTGTCTACAGTTCTGTCCCACTCCAATCAAACTGATGTAGAGATATTTTCGAGGATAAGTAAATACCTTACTTCCGGTGGTGCTAGAGAAAATGTCACAGTATGAATCCTGATGACTTTGATCATCAGGATTCGG